CAGCCATCACCATCTATTTGGCAAACTCAAATCAGGCATTAGTGAATAGAAACATGCAGGTAGTCCCTCTACAGTATTGGCAGAGACAACTGATAAACTCCAGTTAAAGTACAGCATTATTATAATAAAGTGTATTTGTTTAGCCAACTCCCTACACCAGGGGTGCCCACACTTTTTCGCCTTGCGAGCTACTTTTCAAATGACGATGTCAAAATGATCAACTTATGTGTGCGCATATACACACACACACACACACACAAAATATATGTATGAATGAGTGTTGTAGTTTTTATGAACAGTCTAAAAGTGCCGCTCCACATTTCCCTTCTTCGGAATAGTGATGGTAGATTGGTAGATCAAGCAAACGCACTTCGAATATAACGTCGTGAAAAAAAAGTCCTCTCATTCCACATGGAATGTTTTCGGTACATTTTCAGTTTCTTACTTGATTCGGCTCCCCCACTCATTTTATACCCTTTAGTAGAAATTAATTCGAAGGCTGACAAGTTGGTTCGCTCACTGGAGTTTTGCAGTAGCTCGTGTGGTTGACTGTGCATGCTTGGTAACTCGTGTGCCAGAAAAGACAAAATCTCAGACTGGCTGCCCTAGGAGGAGGAGGATGGATGATAGCCATAGGGTGGATGGATGATAGGCTAACAAATTTTTTTTTTAATGGTACGCGATGTACCAACACTGCCTTTGCAATCGACCGGTCAATCGCGATCGACGTATTGGGCACCGCTGAGGTACGCCAAAACAACCAGACACAGAACAGTTTCTTCCCCTGTGCCATCACTCTGATGCAAAGAATTGTTCTAACATTCAGACTGGATGGAGCAAAGGAAAAAGGTGCTTTGTATGCTGCTAAGACCTGCTACTTCCCTCCTCATTAAAAAAATACATTGTAGGGAAGCACATAAGCCATGTGGACATGGTAATGAATCGATGAATATTCATTTATCAAGAAAGGATATCTTAAGGCAATTAAACATACTTGTCATTGCTTATTGCACTGCACTGTTCTTCTACAAAGAAGAAACTAGTTGATGGCTTTCTTTTGCTCTGACAGCTCAGAAAGCCAACACAGTCAACTTCCTGGAATGACTGAAAGAAAGAGATTGTTGCTATGGTGATGTGTGTGTTGCTATGGTATTTGAAAGGAGTTGAAGAACTCAATTTGGAAAAAAGAAGTTACAGTAGAGAAGACTTGTCATTTCCTCTGAGGTCAGATAGACAGTTGAACATTCTCCCAGTGACAATTGCTGAGTAAAATATGACCCTCTAAAATATTTCTGGTGCAATCTTAGCAGGGACCCTCAAGAGAATTTCATTAGAGGCTTGAGTCTTGATTCACAGCAGTGGCATCAGGAAAATGAGGCCATCCCACTTGTTGGTGTTTCCTTCTAATCATCCATTGAACT